AGCACAGGAGTGAATACATACCCGGCAGCAAATAGAGAAGGTAATTACGTGACTGTCACATGTGAGTCGCGTGGCGGAGATCCTCCATCTCAACTGCAATGGTCACGTGACTACCAGGATGTGAATGACAATTATTATACCGATATCTACAACAAAAGATGGACTAGTACCTATAGTTTAACTTTAGACAAAGATGACAATGGAATCACTTTCACTTGTACGGAAACTCATCCTAGACTTTACTTTCCGAGAACATGCACAATTGGGCCAATAAATGTACAGTATATGCCAATTGTTACATTAAATCCGGCAAGTAAAGAGGCAGGCATTGGCGACACTGTGTTTGTTACATGTACTGCAACTGGTAATCCATCACCATCCTCAGTTCAATGGTATTTTAATGGTGTTACCATGGTACCAGATACGAGGTATGTTGTGTCGTCCTCTTCATCAACATCATCTTTGACCATATATGGCCTACAACGAAATGACTTTTATCGGAGTATTACGTGTCGAGCTACGAATAGCATTGGAACACGAACTGTGTATTTTTCACTGACATCGGAACCAACAACAACAATACCTACAACAACTGTTGACGATTCAATTCCATTGGATGGGTATCCTACTTGTACAAGCACAGGAGTAAATGCATACCCGGCAGCAAATAGAGAAGGCAATTACGTGACTATCACATGTGAGTCACGTGGCGGTGAGCCTCCATCTCAACTACAATGGTCACGTGACTACCAGGATGTGAATGACAATTACTATACGGATATCTACAACAAAAGATGGACCAGTACCTATAGTTTAACATTAGACAAAGATGACAATGGAATCACTTTCACTTGTACGGAAACTCATCCTAGACTTTACTTTCCGAGAACATGCACAATTGGGCCAATAAATGTACAGTATATGCCAATTGTTACATTAAATCCGGCAAGTAAAGAAGCAGGTATTGGCGACACTGTGTTTTCTACATGTACTGCAACTGGTAACCCATTACCGTCTTCAGTTGAATGGTATTTTAATGGTGCTACCATGGTACCAGATACCAGATATGTTGTGTCCTCATCTGCATCAACATCATCTTTGACCATATATGGTCTACAAAGAAATGACTTTGACAAGAGTATCACGTGTCGAGCTACAAATACCATTGGAACACGAACTGTGTACTTTTCACTGACATCGGAACCAACAACAACAATACCTACAACAACTGTTGATGATTCAATTCCATTGGATGGGTATCCTACTTGTACAAGCACAGGAGTAAATGCATACCCGGCAGCAAATAGAGAAGGTAATTACGTGACTATCACATGTGATTCACGTGGCGGAGAGCCTCCATCTCAACTACAGTGGTCACGTGACGACCAGGATGTGAATGACAATTATTATACCGATATCTACAACAAAAGATGGACTAGTACCTATAGTTTAACTTTAGACAAAGATGACAATGGAATCACTTTCACTTGTACGGAAACTCATCCTAGACTTTACTTTCCGAGAACATGCACAATTGGGCCAATAAATGTACAGTATATGCCAATTGTTACATTAAATCCGGCAAGTAAAGAAGCAGGTATTGGCGACACTGTGTTTTCTACATGTACTGCAACTGGTAACCCACTACCCTCTTCAGTTCAATGGTATTTTAATGGTGTTACCATGGTACCAGATACGAGGTATGTTGTGTCGTCCTCTTCATCAACATCATCTTTGACCATATATGGCCTACAACGAAATGACTTTTATCGGAGTATTACGTGTCGAGCTACGAATAGCATTGGAACACGAACTGTGTATTTTTCACTGACATCGGAACCAACAACAACAATACCTACAACAACTGTTGACGATTCAATTCCATTGGATGGGTATCCTACTTGTACAAGCACAGGAGTAAATGCATACCCGGCAGCAAATAGAGAAGGTAATTACGTGACTATCACATGTGAGTCACGTGGCGGTGAGCCTCCATCTCAACTACAATGGTCACGTGACTACCAGGATGTGAATGACAATTACTATACGGATATCTACAACAAAAGATGGACCAGTACCTATAGTTTAACATTAGACAAAGATGACAATGGAATCACTTTCACTTGTACGGAAACTCATCCTAGACTTTACTTTCCGAGAACATGCACAATTGGGCCAATAAATGTACAGTATATGCCAATTGTTACATTAAATCCGGCAAGTAAAGAGGCAGGCATTGGTGACACTGTGTTTTCTACATGTACTGCAACTGGTAACCCACTACCCTCTTCAGTTGAATGGTATTTTAATGGTGCTACCATGGTACCAGATACCAGATATGTTGTGTCCTCATCTGCATCAACATCATCTTTGACCATATATGGTCTACAAAGAAATGACTTTGACAAGAGTATCACGTGTCGAGCTACAAATACCATTGGAACACGAACTGTGTACTTTTCACTGACATCGGAACCAACAACAACAATACCTACAACAACTGTTGATGATTCAATTCCATTGGATGGGTATCCTACTTGTACAAGCACAGGAGTAAATGCATACCCGGCAGCAAATAGAGAAGGTAATTACGTGACTATCACATGTGATTCACGTGGCGGAGAGCCTCCATCTCAACTACAATGGTCACGTGACGACCAGGATGTGAATGACAATTATTATACCGATATCTACAACAAAAGATGGACTAGTACCTATAGTTTAACATTAGACAAAGATGACAATGGAATCACTTTCACTTGTACGGAAACTCATCCTAGACTTTACTTTCCGAGAACATGCACAATTGGGCCAATAAATGTACAGTATATGCCAATTGTTACATTAAATCCGGCAAGTAAAGAGGCAGGCATTGGTGACACTGTGTTTTCTACATGTACTGCAACTGGTAACCCAGCACCATCCTCAGTTCAATGGTATTTTAATGGTGTTACCATGGTACCAGATACGAGGTATGTTGTGTCGTCCTCTTCATCAACATCATCTTTGACCATATATGGCCTACAACGAAATGACTTTTATTGGAGTATTACGTGTCGAGCTACGAATAGCATTGGAACACGAACTGTGTATTTTTCACTGACATCGGAACCAACAACAACAATACCTACAACAACTGTTGATGATTCAATTCCATTGGATGGGTATCCTACTTGTACAAGCACAGGAGTAAATGCATACCCGGCAGCAAATAGAGAAGGTAATTACGTGACTATCACATGTGAGTCACGTGGCGGAGAGCCTCCATCTCAACTACAATGGTCACGTGACGACCAGGATGTGAATGACAATTATTATACCGATATCTACAACAAAAGATGGACTAGTACCTATAGTTTAACATTAGACAAAGATGACAATGGAATCACTTTCACTTGTACGGAAACACATCCTAGACTTTACTTTCCGAGAACATGCACAATTGGGCCAATAAATGTACAGTATATGCCAATTGTTACATTAAATCCGGCAAGTAAAGAAGCAGGCATTGGCGACACTGTGTTTGTTACATGTACTGCAACTGGTAACCCATTACCCTCTTCAGTTCAATGGTATTTTAATGGTGTTACCATGGTACCAGAAACGAGGTATGTTGTGTCCTCATCTGCATCAACATCATCTTTGACCATATATGGTCTACAAAGAAATGACTTTGACCAGAGTATCACGTGTCGAGCTACAAATAGCATTGGAACACGAACTGTGTATTTTTCACTGACATCGGAACCAACAACAACAATACCTACAACAACTGTTGACGATTCAATTCCATTGGATGGGTATCCGACTTGTACAAGCACAGGAGTAAATGCATACCCGGCAGCAAATAGAGAAGGTAATTACGTGACAATCACATGTGAGTCACGTGGCGGTGAGCCTCCATCTCAACTACAATGGTCACGTGACTACCAGGATGTGAATGACAATTACTATACGGATATCTACAACAAAAGATGGACCAGTACCTATAGTTTAACATTAGACAAAGATGACAATGGAATCACTTTCACTTGTACGGAAACTCATCCTAGACTTTACTTTCCGAGAACATGCACAATTGGGCCAATAAATGTACAGTATATGCCAATTGTTACATTAAATCCGGCAAGTAAAGAAGCAGGTATTGGCGACACTGTGTTTTCTACATGTACTGCAACTGGTAACCCACTACCCTCTTCAGTTGAATGGTATTTTAATGGTGCTACCATGGTACCAGATACCAGATATGTTGTGTCCTCATCTGCATCAACATCATCTTTGACCATATATGGTCTACAAAGAAATGACTTTGACCAGAGTATCACGTGTCGAGCTACAAATACCATTGGAACACGAACTGTGTACTTTTCACTGACATCGGAACCAACAACAACAATACCTACAACAACTGTTGATGATTCAATTCCATTGGATGGGTATCCTACTTGTACAAGCACAGGAGTAAATGCATACCCGGCAGCAAATAGAGAAGGTAATTACGTGACTATCACATGTGATTCACGTGGCGGAGAGCCTCCATCTCAACTACAATGGTCACGTGACGACCAGGATGTGAATGACAATTATTATACCGATATCTACAACAAAAGATGGACTAGTACCTATAGTTTAACATTAGACAAAGATGAAAATGGAATCACTTTCACTTGTACGGAAACTCATCCTAGACTTTACTTTCCGAGAACATGCACAATTGGGCCAATAAATGTACAGTATATGCCAATTGTTACATTAAATCCGGCAAGTAAAGAGGCAGGTATTGGCGACACTGTGTTTGTTACATGTACTGCAACTGGTAACCCATCACCATTCTCAGTTCAATGGTATTTTAATGGTGTTACCATGGTACCAGATACGAGGTATGTTGTGTCCTCATCTGCATCAACATCATCTTTGACCATATATGGTCTACAAAGAAATGACTTTGACCAGAGTATCACGTGTCGAGCTACAAATAGCATTGGAACACGAACTGTGTATTTTTCACTGACATCGGAACCAACAACAACAATACCTACAACAACTGTTGACGATTCAATTCCATTGGATGGGTATCCGACTTGTACAAGCACAGGAGTAAATGCATACCCGGCAGCAAATAGAGAAGGTAATTACGTGACAATCACATGTGAGTCACGTGGCGGTGAGCCTCCATCTCAACTACAATGGTCACGTGACTACCAGGATGTGAATGACAATTATTATACGGATACCTACAACAAAAGATGGACTAGTACCTATAGTTTAACATTAGACAAAGATGACAATGGAATCACTTTCACTTGTACGGAAACTCATCCTAGACTTTACTTTCCGAGAACATGCACAATTGGGCCAATTAATGTACAGTATATGCCAATTGTTACATTAAATCCGGCAAGTAAAGAGGCAGGTATTGGCGACACTGTGTTTTCTACATGTACTGCAACTGGTAACCCATTACCCTCTTCAGTTGAATGGTATTTTAATGGTGCTACCATGGTACCAGATACCAGATATGTTGTGTCCTCATCTGCATCAACATCATCTTTGACCATATATGGTCTACAAAGAAATGACTTTGACCAGAGTATCACGTGTCGAGCTACAAATAGCATTGGAACACGAACTGTGTATTTTTCACTGACATCGGAACCAACAACAACAATACCTACAACAACTGTTGATGATTCAATTCCATTGGATGGGTATCCTACTTGTACAAGCACAGGAGTAAATGCATACCCGGCAGCAAATAGAGAAGGTAATTACGTGACTATCACATGTGAGTCACGTGGCGGAGAGCCTCCATCTCAACTACAATGGTCACGTGACGACCAGGATGTGAATGACAATTATTATACCGATATCTTCAACAAAAGATGGACTAGTACCTATAGTTTAACATTAGACAAAGATGACAATGGAATCACTTTCAGTTGTACGGAAACACATCCTAGACTTTACTTTCCGAGAACATGCACAATTGGGCCAATAAATGTACAGTATATGCCAATTGTTACATTAAATCCGGCAAGTAAAGAGGCAGGCATTGGCGACACTGTGTTTTCTACATGTACTGCAACTGGTAATCCAGCACCATCCTCAGTTCAATGGTATTTTAATGGTGTTACCATGGTACCAGATACGAGGTATGTTGTGTCCTCATCTGCATCAACATCATCTTTGACCATATATGGCCTACAACGAAATGACTTTTATCGGAGTATCACGTGTCGAGCTACGAATAGCATTGGAACACGAACTGAGTATTTTTCACTAACATCAGAACCAACATCAACAATACCTACAACAACTGTTGATGATTCAATTCCATTGGATGGGTATCCTACTTGTACAAGCACAGGAGTAAATGCATACCCGGCAGCAAATAGAGAAGGTAATTACGTGACTATCACATGTGAGTCACGTGGCGGAGAGCCTCCATCTCAACTACAATGGTCACATGACTACCAGGATGTGAATGACTATTATTATACGGATACCTACAACAAAAGATGGACTAGTACCTATAGTTTAACTTTAGACAAAGATGACAATGGAATCACTTTCACTTGTACGGAAACTCATCCTAGACTTTACTTTCCGAGAACATGCACAATTGGGCCAATTAATGTACAGTATATGCCAATTGTTACATTAAATCCGACAGTAAAGAGCAGCATGTGA